AAGAAGCATTCATTAACCAACAATTTACAATGTAATGAATGCGGACCGATGTTTAGTCGTCAGTTTACCCTAAATAGACACAAATTTGAAAAGCATCAGACAGGTAAAGGGCTTAAGAGACCAGCGGAGAATAATGACATGACTACAAAACGCATGAAGAAGAACGATAATCCGAGAGATTTTTACACTACTGCAAAAAACAATGAACAGAAATTTATAACCACAACCTCTACTTACAAAGTGAATTTTAAAGATTTGGAGGTCATAGAAATTGTACTGACTACACTCAATCAATTGTTTACAGCCATTTTTGATGAACTGACAACAGAAGCTAAACCAGAAGACTTAATCAGAATGGTAATTCAAAGTCCTACATTGGATTACACCATCATTATACCGTTTATGCGGTTACCAGAACTTACCTCAAAGCGTTTTATGTCTGAAATAGAACGTGTTCTACAGTCAAATGAAGATTTCAACATAGACCAATCTCTAATATTTGAAGTGACTCACGTAATCATGCCAACTGGAGGAGTTAGAAAAAGATGTCCTTATGTGGACCTAGAGAAGACATTGAAAGAAACACAATGCTTTATCCGTATTCAAAATGACGACAACTTATGCTGCGCAAGAGCTATTGTTACCGCAAAAGCAAAGCTTGGACGCCACGAAAAGTGGAACAGTATCAGACAGGGTTGTGCCATACAAAGGGAAATGGCTGAGGAGTTACACAATCAAGCAGATGTACCCCTTGGACCTTGTAGTAATACAGAAATCAAGTTTCAAGAGTGTCTTGACGGATACCAGATCTACGTAGCGTCAGCCCACCATTTCAACAGTATTATATATGCAGGACCAGAGGCAGGCAAGAAAATATACTTATATCACCATGAACATTATTATGACATAATCACTAGTCTGCCAGCATTTCTCAACAAAGTTTATTTCTGTACAATGTGTCAGAATGGGTACGATCACATGGAAAAGCATTCGTGCAACAATGTATGTCATTCGTGTAAAAAAAGTGCATACCCCGAACGACAAAAACTGGCTCCATTGTAGTAAATGTAATCGGTTTTTCCGTGGAAAGATATGTTTAGAGCTTCATCAGAAAGTTACAGCAAATGGAAATTCTACGTGTCGTACATACAATAGATGCAATGACTGTGGAAAAACAATCAACAAACAAATGAGTAAAAAACCTCATGTTTGCGGCTCAAAATATTGTGAAATATGTAAAATAGAGAAAATAAAAATCCCTAAAGAAAGCCCAACACGTCAAAATTGAAAATATTGCAGGCTCGGTTTTATTGAGCCTGTTCATGGACGGTACTGTCAATAGCAAACTACCGTCCACGCCCCTAGCACCGGCTTAAGCAGAAATCAACATTTAACATGAAATGGTAAAATTTTGAATTTAGAAACATCTGCAGATGTGTTCATACGGCGATTATCATGGAACCTTCAATATGACACAGTAGTGCCATTCCATGAATAGCGGCATATGGTCCCAAAGTAATAAAAAGCATGGGCTCTAAACGAGAAAACAATGGGCGAAACTAAACAAAATGGTATTTTGAAAGGGGATCAGAGGTTATGAAGCCTGCATATCACAGATAAGACGTCAAAAGACAAACTTGGAAAGCAGTCAACATATCCTTTAAGACAAGACTTTTTCGAAGAAGGACACCTTTGCTATATAAAACCCGAGAATCAAAATGAACTATCTGATAAAAGTGATGATAAAGAAAATGTTGATACTTTCATATTTTTCGATCTAGAATGCACACAACAAGATATTGTTCAGTGCGAGAGAGGGTATAAAAGAGGTTAAAATAATGGGATATGTATACGTACATTGTCAAAAGTCAAAATGCGGTGCCTTTGAACATATACCACATCTATGTGTGGCTCATAAAGTATGTACTTTGTGTATGGATGGAAAGTTGAGTGAAAAAAGTGAATGTGAGATGTGCGGAAAGAATGAAATCATATTTTCAGGCCTTAATACCATTGATCAATTTTGTAGTTGGCTATTTTCTGAAGACAATAACAACGCAACCATTATATGTCACAATTTTCAAGGTTACGATTCTTATCCAATTTTGCAATATTTGTACAGAAATGCTGTCGTTCCTACAGTGATACCTAATGGTGCCAAAATCATGTCTTTGATAGTTCCTAGTTGCAAAATTAAAATCAGGCATTACAATGGGTAAAATATATGTCACATAGTCTCGGTATCCGTATACAGCATGCGAGAAACGGGGGTGAGAAAGCCATTGGTCCATACAAGGTGGATGGTTATTATGAAACAAAAGACCAAAAGGTTGTACTTGAATTTCATGGAGACTTTTGGCATGGAAATCCTAACCAATATTCAAGTAATACAATGAACTCTGTCAGTAAACTTACCATGGGTGAGCTGTATCAAAATACTTTAACTAAACAGAGATATATAGACAATAGATAAATACAGAATCCCTAAAGAAGGCACAACACGGCAAAATTGAAAATGTTGCAGGCTCGGTTTGATTGAGCCTGTTCATGGACGGTACTGGGAATTCCTAATCAGTTACAGATTATTTATCATTTAATGATTAACGTGTCGTTGCCCTGTCCTTTTTATGTTTGGGGTCCGCCTGGGCTCCTTGCCATTGGGTCTTGTTGCTGGGTCATATGGGGGTTGCGTTCATTGAACGCCGCCTTTCCTTGTTGATCTTGTTTATCATATTTTACCGTCCACGCCCCTAGCACCGGCTTAAGCAGAATTCAACATTTAAACGTGAAATAGTAAAATTTTAAATTTAGAAACATCCGCAGATGTGTTCATACGGCGGTTATCATGGAACCTTTAATGTGACACTTCCGTGCCATTCCATGAAAAGCGGCGTATGGTCCCCAAGTAATAAAAAGTGTGTGCCCTAAACGAGAAAACAATGGGCGGAACTAAATATAATGGAATTTTGAAAGGGGATCAGAGGTTATGAAGCCTGCGTATCACAGATAAGACGTCAAAAGACAAATTTAAAAAGCAGGCAACATATCCTAAGGGTGATTCAACATTATTCAAGTAGGAATATTGGAACCACCCAACTAGAAAATGCCGAAAAGTTGAAACTAAAAATACCACAAGCACAAGCTTGGTTATACGAATGTATCTATCTGGGAATCTGAGTTTGAGAAAGAATTAAAAGTAAACAATGGGATGAGGACTTTTATAGAACAACTTGATACGGTAACTTCCTTACAACCTAGGAAGGCTTTTTTCGGGGGTCGAACTGAAGCGTTCACACTTTACAAAGAAGCCATAAATGAAGAAAATATACAATATTATGATGTTTCATCCCTTTATCCATTTATCAATAAGATAGGAAAAATTCCTTTAGGTCACCCTAACATCATTACAGAAAATTTTGCCGAAATTGATAAATACGAGGGGTTAATCAAATGTAAAGTTATTCCCCCACGAAACTTATTTATCCCTGTTCTGCCATGAAAAATAAACGGAAAATTACTATTTTCTTTGTGTAAAACATGTGCTGAAACTTACCAACAGACAAAATGTTTGCATACGAACGAAGAAAGGGTTTTTATAGGTACATGGGTCACAGACGAAGTTAAAAAGGCCATTGATAAAGGTTATATATTGAATTTATTCTATGAGGTCTGGCAATTTCGAAAACATCTCTTAATATGATCCTAATACTAAAGAAGGGGGTCTCTTCACCGAATATGTAAATACGTTTCTTTAAATCAAACAAGAAAAAAGTGGTTGGCCAAAATGGTGTATCACTGAAGAACAAAAGCATATATACATGCAACAGTATTATGAAAAAGAGGGGATACAACTCGACTGCCATAGCATAGAGAAAAATCCAGGGATGTGGGCCTTGGCTAAGTAAATGCTGGAAGTTTGGTCAAAGACTTAACAAAAATCAAGTAGAAATTATCGATGATCCAACCATTTATTTTAAAAAAACTGACAAGCGACAGGGAAGAAGTAACAACAGTAAGCTTGTGTCTAATGAAATGCTAGAATTACGTTGGAAATACAGGGATGAACTTGTAGATCCTTCCGGGAAAACAAATGTTGTCATAGCTGCTTACACAACAGCTCAAGCCAGACTGAAATTATACTCTTACTTAGAAAATTTAGGTACGCGTGCATTATATGCGGATACTGATTCTGTCGTATTTTACTCAAAATCTAGGCGATTATTTGGGTGATCTTACTGACGAAATACCTGGAAATCAAATCAAAACATTTGTGACAAGTGGCCCAAAAAGTTATGTCTATCAATTAGGAGATCCAGATGAAACTGGTAATAAAACTCATTGCAAGGTGGTGTGTGTCACCCTTAATTTTAAAAACAGAAATACAATAAACTTTGGAACAATCAAAGGCATGGTCACAAGCCCATCAAATGAAATTGTAACCGTAACAGTTTACCATAATATGTAGAGACCGTGATCAAGCTAAACTTTTAACACTGACCCAAACAAAACAGTATAGGATTGTCTTTGATAAGAGAGTGAGAGATGGTTGTCTGTCGTTTCCATATGGCTATTGAAGAGTTATTGTATCATAAATGTTATCAAAATTTCAATGTTATGATAATAAAATATGAATAATTTATTTGTTTGTTGTCTTTTATTACTACTCTAACATCATTGTTTTAAATATCATATACTATAGTGGTAAAAGATTTTTAAAAAAAGCTATAGGATTGAATTGTCAAGCAAATTGTTAAGCAAAGTATGACTTATCATAAAAAATGACCTCTCCAGACAAACCTATCCTATCGAAAATTGACTGCACCCAAAATCAAAATCCAAGATGGCTGCTTTATAAAGACAAAGAAGGAAAAAACTCGTCAAGAGTGCTGTCCTCCACTACTCGCATTGCTTGCTGTTCGTTATAAACAATTTGCATGTAAATAAGTTTTTATTTAATCAAAGTTTATTTGAAATAATAGTTTAAATTTATCATACCTGATTTTGAAACAAGCAGTGGAACGAGATGGCAAATGCAATTATCAGGAGTGAAAACACAAGGAGAAACTTCATAAACACCTTGATGATCCGGTACAACATAACTACATATATACCTAACCATTCGAATTTCTGAATGATAAATAACATATTGATCCAAGCGAGGAAAACGGATACCGTTCCGCAAGTCCATTGCCATTGCTGAAAAAAATCCGCATGGGTTACATTATAGTTTTATAGCATAACAATTATAATAATTTAAACAGTAGCTAGATTCTTTTCACTTTTACTTTGACAAAAATGAATAATTCACATCAATATTAACCTAAAAGACTGTATCAAACCTGTAATGAGTCTGAATGCAAAATGAAACCATAATTGCCAAACTGTGGGCGTCGTAAATATAATTGCGAGATGCTTTGATTTTTTTACAATGTTTTAAAACTGAATTTTTAACCGAACATTTTACCTCTTAATGCATCATTTATATATACTTGTTTGATACCCTAGTAAAAAATAAAGTGCTCATTCGAATACCTGTTTTACAAAAGAAATAAGAAATCATACCGGTCTATATTGTGAATCGCTACAGTCACTTGTATTGACAACAAATATAATCGCAGTGATGCACGTTATCCATTCAAAAACATTTTCAATTTCAAAAAAGTAAAACCATACTTTCCAGGAGAACATTTGTTTCATTTCTAGTACCTGTATAAATAAACCAATTTGAGAATTATACAACGTCTTGAAGAGCAATTATTGATCGTTTGTCTTTGCTGTTTCTTTACAAATATTGTTTATATGATTGCTTTATTTTCTCCTTTAAAATAAAAATAAAGGTTTTCTGTTTCTAACTATTTTGTCGTTATTTAATCGTAGGTTTCATGAACATTGTAAGCATAGCATGTATATCGTATGCCGTTGAAACGGATAAAAGTAAAATCTATTTTAGCCTTATAAATAGGTTTTCTTACCTCAATGAGCAATATTATCGAAGCCAATGCGATGATTCCGTACCTTGCATAAGATGCGAATTCAGAAAGACTCTCATTTGTCAAATCTGAACACTCAGAAAAACTTTAAAATAACAAAATATATTGCAAAGTGTTAATGTAATTCAAGACAACAAATTTATAAATAGAAAATCTGTTGAACATAGTTATAATACTCGTATATGTGTAATTATAACCCAGACCCGACCCTAAGTGAAACAAGAAGTATCTTTAAAAAATATTCTGGGCCGAACTGAAACTGGTTTATTTGCATATCGTATCTGAGGAAACATAGAAAAAGAATCATAAGGATTATGATATTGAGCCTTTTATTAAATTTTGAATTTTAAGTCTATTTTTTGAAATATTAAAATCATATGCATATGTTGGCAGATACAAAGATTTTTTTTTAAATAGAAACAAAGTCTGAAGTAAATCATTTAAAAGTAAAGGCGAAGTAAATAAGAACTACAAACAAAACAATTTATTTCATACACAATTTTTGTCCGTCTCAGTTTCGTTTTAGCTAAAAATATTCTTTGAATAATTGATGTTTATTTAAATAAAAATTTTAGTACAAAGTTTATAAATGACAACGTTTTGTAAATACGAAATACCCGAATCAACAAATTTGCAACAACTTTGGAAATAACGATAAAAAAGGACCGAAAGAAAGCTTTCTTATCTAAAAAGCTTTTACAAACATTTATTATTAACAAACCATTCAATCGTTAGCGGTTATATAATTCCTTCATAAATATGCAAAATGAAAATTATAAACTTTGTATATGTTCTTGTGTGTCGTACGTATACGCGTACGTCCTTGTAAATGGTGATTTCGTTTATGTTTGACAATTTAATAACACTTTTAAGTACCATAAAATAATCTGTAGGAGGATGCATGGCAATCTAGAACTTATAATGTGTAGTTTAACAGAACTTAAGTGTCTGAAATTTATTTTCATAGTAAAAGAACTTATGAATGTAGAAAGTAGAAGTTTACACAAAGTTAATTTTGTGTTTATCATAACATTATTCCCTTACAATTTTAAATGTTGCGTTAACTTGTTTCTATGAATAAAATATCACACATTAACATGCTTTTTTAGACTTACTTCTTAAACTGATATGGAGCTGGTAAATCAAGTGTGAAGCCAGTAAGCAATCCAAGAAACAGTGCATAGAGCACGACAGTTAGGATGTTTAAAACAAGACCGATGCTTGTCCATTTCCTCTTAAGAAGAGCTGACACTAATGGGTGGTCTAACAACTCTATCCGTTTGGATGTGACCTGTAAAAGTCAAGCAAGTCTATGCGAAAATACTTTTTACAACTTTTAAAAAAATACACTTAGAATTTTTTCAAGTATGCCATCATTACAAACTGTAAAACATGAGTTCGTAAACCAATAAGAAGTGAAATGGCTTACCATTATCATCAGAGGGTGGTTTTCTTTAATAATATTTGGATTCTCGGTGTAGGGTTTACCTATAAAAAATATCATTTTGAAATAGTCATCACTTGAAATCAAATCGTTTTTCCAGTGAATAAATTTATCAAATAAATATTTCAAACACTTCGGAATGATTCTGACGTAAACATTAACTAACCTTTAAATTATCCCATGATGAAGCAAAAAAAAAAATAACTATACTTAATATCTTCATATTGCTGAAGGTTATTACGTAACGTCAAGATTTAGCACCGGCTCCAAAGTTTTAAGTCTGATACATGATATACCCAAATGTACAAAAAATAATTACTGCATTTTCCTAGCAAAAACACATGTTTATGAAATTATATATTTAATTAAATTTTGATTGTGAAAGATATACATGAAAAGTAATGAGCATAGTGAAAGGTATTGTCTGATACAACTTGAAACCTAGTTCTTTACAAACACATATTGTGCAGCACAAAAGATGTTCTTCAATGTAATTTGAAATGTTTTGGTATTTGAGATTGTTCAAAACGATCAATATTGCAATCAGGGAATTATATGTAATATATGCGACTATACTGATTAATAGTTCATAACTGTTAATTTCAGTATTTCAATGGATATAAATGAAATTTACCGAAACTCATAAAGTCTTAAGAAAGTACATTTTCAATAACCACACCCCACTAAACATTCACGATTATGTATTTGAAATATTGTCTGTATACGTTCGGAAGAAAATTGATAATATGCGTACAATACTGTTTTCGTTCTTTTCGCTTATTTTTGTTTAAACAAATGGAAAACACGGAACAAAATAAAAAATTGTTACTAATATTTCTTAGGTATTTCAAGCATTGCAGTACAAGACTTAATTTTTAATTAAGGCGACCATCCTGACTGCCACCAGTAAGCTGTAATTCTCAATGGAAATAAACAAGTGGGCGCGCAACCACAAAGTTCTGACAGCGCTAACACTAGATCAACCGGTATTTTTTTCGCGAAAAAACAAAAACAAAACAAAACATCAACAACAAAAAAAAAACAACAACAAAAAAAAAACAACAAGAAGCAAAAAAAAAACAAAAAAACAACAGAATATTTTTGAAATTTTCATTTGCTAAGAAGATGTCCTTTCTTCTTTCAATATCCAAAGTGCCTTGACACAACTCAGTATTTCGCGTAAAATGAGATTTGGATTCTGAATACTTCGTACACAAGGTGTTGAACCAATAGCCAATTGCATATTGCAGCTAATGTGTAGCTGGAGACACAAAACTCATTAACGGGCAAAACGCGATTTACATTCAATTTCAATAACTCAGCTGACAATCATTAAACTGGAAAACCAGTGTAATATGCGCAAGTACTTGAGCTACTGATCAATCCTGTAAATTTTCATTGAAATTGCACGAGTGGTATAAGAGGAGTAGTTCGGAAAAATTCTAAAAATAAAAGGGCCAACACTCACAAAAAATATTGATGATATGCACAACTAGACTTGGTACTTTGGATGAAATTGCACCAGTTGTTTCCGAGGTGTAATCCGGACAAGCTTCTGTAAGTTTAAGCAACACACAAAAAATATATTTTCATTGGGCCATTACATAGCCAAAAATCATTATACCGGAGAATACGTGTAATATGCGCAAGTACTTGCGCTACATTACAATCCTGTAAAGAATAATTGAAATGGCATTAATGGTTTAAGAGGAGTAGTCCGTACAGACTTTTAAAAATGAAAATCATTAAAGGGTCATACATCTGACAAAAACATTGAACCGAAAAATGGCAATACTATGCACAACTGAACTTGGTACTGATCATTCATGTTAAGTTAAGATGTAATTGCACTAGTAGTTTCTGAGGAGTAGTCCGGACATGACTTTTGTTTTGTGACGGACGGACGGAAAAATGATCCCTATATGTCGCCACTACTCTGACGACATCGGCAATATAGTATCGTGAAGCGTCATACCTCTGAACGCAAGTATGAATATCATTGTTGAAAATCGTTGTGGAAAAAACTTAACATGATTTGAAACGTCATGAACTAATTAAGAGCGAAACGTAGACATTCAACTGTGACAAATGTGGCTTGGCTTTCTCTATCAACGAGATCCCATCGGTCAACAAGTTGACAAAACAACATAAAAGTGGATAATGTGTTAATTGATTCAAGCAAGAAATAAAAAATTACTTACAGACACTCCTCTCAGAAATCATTAAAGGGAATGTCTTTATTAGAAAGAGTTTCTAAGCAAGGAATCTATTTCATGTAATGTCAGTTAAAATCAAAACAGAAGAAACCAACTTAAGACCATATTTGTTCAGTCCCGTTGGAATTAAACAATTCAGTAATGCTAACACTCTGAAACAACAGATGAAAATAGATAAAATTAAACTTTCGTGGATCATTAACGCATAATGAAACAATGAATAAACAACTTAATTAAAAAACCCTTTTCTAGCTTAGTTACAAACAATCTTATTTACTTCTACAATTCAACTTAACATTTAATGCATATGGCAATGAAACAGGATTTTTTTATCACAAGTGCAAATGTTGCTGCAATATGCATCAATTGAGAGGTGCTCATTACCTTACAAAATAATTCCTACGCACAGTTTATTTTCTATTTAGATTAAGTGCTATTGTACATTATTCCGGATGTTTTGTAAATCGTTCAAATTTGCATAATTATACTTATCGTATGCACTGTCCATGTGAGAGGGGTCAGATAATGAATTTAAAAAAATGCTTTCACTGATGCCGATTTGGTAAGAAGAGTAATTCATTTACAAACAAGACTTGCAATACTTGTAAAACAGTAGACAAATTGAACAAAGTCTGTTAATTGATTTATTGGGAAGTCAATCTACTATTTCGTTGAATTACTTCAAAAACCTCGTCTGAACAGCAAAAATGCGGGATATCAGGGTCGATTGTAGCTAAAGAGACTTGAACAGCGAATATGTTTTATAGTATACTACTGCTAGACCTTTTTACTGCCGAACAACGTCAAAATAAAAGCGACATATAAAGCTATGAAAGTCAGAAATAGGTCGATTTAAAATATTCATGGTAAAAATGTCATAAGTGCTATCAGGCCGGTTAAAAAAGAAAACAAGAGAGAACCTACAGAGGAGCCAATTTCAAAATGAATATTTCAATACTATGTTATAACAATTCGTAAATAATTGCCAACTTAAATTTTTTCAATATATTTATAAAGAGTGCAGTTCATTGTTTGAATGTGTTTGCATTTCATTTCCTGCAGAATTCTCCAGTTCATATTTTTTACCATAGCGCGACACGAATGACCGTTTCGTGAAACTAAAACAACTTCTTTAAATAGATTATCGGACTTTCACAATGTTAGGTCATCTATTTATAGCTTTCCCAATAAAATACATGATAACCCACTGTGTACTACAAAATAATTCTTAATTTCCTGTAAAGGAAATAAATTACCACATATGAGTTTATTTTTTGTTTTGTCTTTTTAACTGCCTTCCCAGCGGTGGAGGCGTGAAATTTGTTCCCATTCCTATTCATTGAATTATAAAGCATGCTGCGAATAACCGCAAGGGAAAACAATGTATGACTTTTCATAATAGAAATCGGAAGGAATTCTTGATTCCGAATTTATTTTTAGCTGTAAATCGAAGGGTTTAATTGATAAAAATCGGGCCTATGGACAAAAAAGACAACAAAAACAGCTTCGCGCATGTGGGCGCGGAGCAATGATAAGATGTTATCGTGTTTTATGCTTGTTTTCAAACTTATTTTTATATCACTTAAATGATATACTTGAATGTTTTCCTGTGGCCCTGTCTTTGTTCCTATTGTGTTTTAAATCAGGTAAAGTCTTGAACACTTTTTCACAATAACATTCATACTTGCATTCAGAGGAATGACGCTTCATTGTTTTGTGATGATACTCTGAAAAAGCCACTTGACTACATAGTCATATTCTAGCAAATTGTATGAAAAAATATTTAATTCCGGTCTTTTTCCTTTTATTCTATTTAGGTTAAACATTTTAAACATAGTACAAAAACTTGATTTTTTTGGGGGTTTGTTTGTGCTACCATCATAAAGCATAGTCTACTCCGTATAAATAAATAAGTATAAATGAAACAAGCATCTACGCGCCTAATCTAGATTTGTTTCAGTGTTTTCGCAAAATTACAATTAAAACTGTTACACAGTAAATAGAGCGTTTAAAACCCTTTCCGTACAAATGAGCAAGAACGAAGGTTGAAAATACAGCTTGAAATAGATTCTATAATGAATTAACAAGCTGTCTGAAACTGTAGCAGGGGGTCGAATGTAGAGCTGTGCGATACTTCTTTAAGCGAGGTAAAAATCATGCGATACGGAATAATGGAGGAAAAATAAGTGCAATCACACGTCAGAGTGATTGATTTTATTAATTATTTCACAAATCTTCGAAAACAATTGCATATTTTGTATTGAAGATGTGAAGATAGGACCGACACATATTTCATCAAAATTATAGAGGCTTAAATTCATAATTAAAAAAGTTATTGAAGGTAAACTGAAGGCAACTGATTTTGTGTCGGAGAATACAATCGCTTTCAGCAAGCTTATTTAAAAATAGCTAATTTCTTTTCCTTTTAATTCTATCAGGGTAATCATTAATGAGTTGCATAGCAAATAACTATGTGCTCCGATACATAGACGCTTACAGGTCAAAATATTTAAGTGTACGCTGGGTTTTGGTGCGATAAAATAACTGTACGCTGTTAAAGGTTCGATATTTTTTTAATTATCACATTCCTTGTACATGTTTTCCTATGATTTTAAGTGTTGCTATTTGAACTAAATTTTAATAATTAGATATCTACCTGTCATAATGAAGAGTTGGAAAAAGTAACTTTTGTCTAAGATCTTAGATAACTATGTTTCTTGTCATCACTCAATTTTCAACTACGTTCATAGTTACTGTATTTTCATTCCAAAAAGGTGTCGCCCTTTTTAATAACAAGAATCTTGTTTTTGTACTGTATCTTGTTTGTGATTTATTTTTTTATTTTTTTATTTTTCATATGAAAGTTCAAATTCTGGTATCCCTACTAGACCTTTTGATATGTGCATAATTCTCCCCTCAGTTTGCACATCATTTGGATATATAGAATTTCTAGAGCGCACATCAGTTACATAAAAGGCACATACACGTTCAAATGTTGTTTTTTTAAACTCTAGCATGCCACTTAGGCAAGAACAAACAGCAGTCCACACAACTTTAAAAAGTCACTAGCTTGCATAAGAGGTCACAGAAGCATTTTAAAGGACTCATTAGGAACCTTAACAATAATAAAACACGATATGCTATCAGTCCTTATATCATGTAGTACATTTCATTCTGCAACTTTTAAATAATTATATATACACTTTTAGTTTCAATTTTATTAAAAAAATAAGGAATAGTGGGAATATTTGTAAAAAAATTAGGAGTATGGCAAAACAGTAGGAAAGTAGGCTAAAGTAGGACTACTTTTAAGCCTGTATAATAAAAGTGTTATAATTGCGTTAATCTTTGACCTCAAATGACATTAAATACATACGGGTCATCCAATAGGCTTTTGTCAATGTTTTTGAATTAAAAAAATATATAATATCCAATCTATAAAGGAAATCAAACCAGTATTTTTTCATAGAATTTAAATTTCCTTTGCCAAAAAAAAAAAACAACAACAACAACAAACAAAACAAGAGAAAAAAACCCCCAAAAAACAACAAAAAAACCCCCGCAATTTATTACATGTACTTCTAAAGGTATTGAATGAACGTAGGAACGGATGGGAAGCGTTTTTCAGACCAGTGCATATAATACAATAGTACATCCACTTCTCATATGTTGCTGTTTTCATAAAGTTATTGTTTCTTTACATTAATATGCAATAAATAATAAAAAAAAACAACATACATTTGTATTATTCAATGATAAAACCTTTATTGAATGAATGGAATAAACAAAACAAATACCATCGTTACTATATGTTATTTGATAGAATTTCAAGATCCTCTGCGATAACTTATCTAATTATAATATACAACCTATGTGAGAAAAGAAGATATAAATTAAAAATATCATAGTATAATACATTAATTGACACTGTTGCTTTTATTGACGCTGTCGTTTACATATGATTAACATACAAACACAAAACTTGATATTTCATCAATATTTAATTAGAATGTTTTGTAATGAGAAAGTCCCCGTCTCTACAGAAAAACACACCAACATTTGTGCGTACAGTTAGTTCATCGGACCAATTATTAGGCGTACAGTAAGAAAACTGGAAATATTGTATATATTTTTGGATAGATATTGAAAACTACTCTTGTATATCGTTTTGTAATAAAAACTAAACATGTAGGGACTTAAACTAATCGATAATCTCGTTTTAAAACTACTTATACTGTATTCCTTTGCATTTGAATATCAGGTTGACAGTTGAATTTGCAGCAACAAATACCTCAATAACTTCCTCAATACTTTAAAATTTAGTATTTTATTTTGACGATCATGCAGAATTAGTTCTGATCAGCATGCACAATACTATCCTTCAGGAAATAAAAATATACAACACATATTTGAAAAAAAAATGCTTTTACCGACTTTCATTTTAATTTTCTTCGGCTATCTTTCCGTATCGAACGATTTCACCTCGCTTAAAGAAGTATCGCACCGCTATATCTTCGAACTCTGTGTAAGTTAAATCGATATCTTCTCAATTTCAGTTACATTTCGGCGGCAGGTGTACGCAGTATCCAGAATCCAAATCGCATTCAATGCAAAATACTGACGAGAAAGTGAAGAGATTGTCAAGCCATTCGAGTATTTAAACTAGAAAACTGGATGTAAAGGATAACTTCGTTGCAAAAGAGATCAAATTCATATCCGGTTGATAAAGTGTTCTTGCCATCAAAATTTTGAGGATACGAGAAATAAAAACCGATAAATTTCGGTGTAAAATAATGACTGGCTAGTGCTAGACCCGGTTAGATCCGATCGTTAACCAATAATTAGTAAATGAAAGCAACATACTGCTCTGTTTCTTTTCTATATCTTCGGAATGCTTCGAGTCAACTTTGATGCCAGCTGAAAAAGATATAAATAAATTATGGTAAAATGTATATTCATTTGATGTAAATTAATTTAAGTGATATATCACTATTTAATAACAACACAATAGTCAGCATTTAAGATCGTTTGTTAAAATATTGTTTGTATACGCCTGAACGAATACTTATGATATGCGACCGGTCGTATAATTATTTAAGCAGTTTCCTGTCCGCTAAGAATAATATAAAAATTAAGAGACCTTACCAAAAGTCTTTGGTTCTTTAATTGTATGTAATATATCCAGCATTGCAATAATATACTTATCTGTAACTTAGGCGACCTTTCTGACGACCAGCATTTAGCTAGTAATTCCAATGGATATTGATGTGTGGTAAAACTGTTTTTATTCATAATTGTTATAGTGAACTGATATAAAAAAAATCTTATAAAAATACAGATATCAAAGCAGACGAAATTCAGTGTATTATATAAACCAGGCAGTATTAAGTGATTCAACGTTAAACATTTATGAAGTGAAGTGAAAATTAATATAATAAGTAAATAAATAACATACTTCTCTGGTTTGTTTCCGAATCTTTAGAATTCTTCGAGTCAACTGAATAAGATATAAATTAACTTTTGGCAATTTCAATTTCCAGTTACAGAATGCACATGTATACTCTATTTAAATCAAATTATAAGATACTTTATATGTCAACACAGCACTTAACATTCATGACTGTGTAAAGCTCAAATTCGCTAACCCTTTCTTTACCTGTTTTCATCAATATGTACTTCAAGGGTTGTGAAAAAATTCTTATAAACGTATACGACTTATCGCCTAATCTTAAACAACATGAACCGTTACTTTTTCCGCATTTCAAAAATATAATAGGTAGAATGTCTGCTACCTTAATGTAGAGATCCTGGTTAGAATCCTGTGAAAGGCATTATCTGACATTATGTTTTGTTTCAAAGAAATCGCAACTATCTGGATTTTAGTTACCCATGCATTTCGTAAAAAAATGAATATACAAATTTGTCAAAATTGTTTAAAAATGTGACTGATGTATTTAACTGTTTCAAAAAGAACAAAAATACTATTTGGTCTGTGTAAAGACGTACATTTTCTTTTGATTTATCCTCTCTGTTTTGATTTAAAACAAATGATTTAAATGAATCATTGTCATGATTAAACGATTATTATTATTTATGTGTCTATACAAACTTATTTTTATTGCAATGAAAATGCAAAATGTAATAATTAGATAACTAACACAATCCATTATATCATACTTGTACCACCAAATGATGAAGACGTTATCGTGATAGCCTTATATTTTTTTTTTAATTGCCCTGATTTTTTAGGACATGTGCCTTTTCGTATAACCAACTGTAAGAAATTTCTTGTCCGCTAAGTTCATGTATATTATGACAAAAAGAAGGGAATCGAATGTACTGAGCAGAATTGCTAAATTTTAGTCTTTTTTTTTTTTTACCTTGAATAATCAACATTGCAAAAGTTGACTGATCTGCAATTATAACGACCAAAATGAGAGCCATCAAAAACAGTAAATTACGACACAAATAACTGTGTCTTACGACTCTTTTCATTTTTTTATTAAAAAAAATAACCCAAATGAAGTAAATGTCTTCACGTGACATGGATTCTTTCATATGACAATTTGCCTCCAAACATCGCACATGCACGCACGCACACACACACACACGAACACACACACACTCGCTCGCACACACACACACATACACGTACGCACAGACTCGCACCTTATTGCGCGTGAAAAACATATGAAAGGACAAAATTAAAGCTCACAAATTTTGGCGTCTGTGGCGGATTTTAAGCCTAGCTTACCATTCCAAGACGATGTGCAGAGAGAATTTGTGCGTGCTTATTCAAGGTGAAGGTCACACTAAGCTTATTGTATGAAAATCAAAATTTCAGATATAGACCGTAACGTAATTGTCGGGACCATTACTCTTGTCATACATACATGGTTTTTAAAGTAACTTTGCACAAGAGAGTACTACGACGAAATGGTGTATCATGCATAAGACAAAAGTGAGGTTACAATAAGATGTCAAAGGTCAGCAGTTAGAAAGTCTTTCCGGTTAATTTTTCTCTCTTGCATCCAGGAATTTCCAAAACAGAACTTGGCTGAAATCTGTAGCATGATGTGACGGTTTGTCATTAGTTAGACCAATGCCTAGAGCTCAAAGGTCAAGGTCTTACTTAGAGCTCGAAAGTCAGCTTTAAAAAAACCTTGTCCAGTGTATATTTCATTCCATGTATCAATAGATTATAAAGTCCTTGGAAAAGGCAATTTGATAATCAATGAATTACTTTGACAATAAAATTAATTGTTACTATATAAGAACCCTTCAAAATCAATGCTATATCTTACTTGAAAAAAACCTTTAATTGAAAAGAAAGAATGGAATACCAACAATTTGTCCTGTTATAACATTCGTAGTATTCGAAATTCTACAAACATAGCGGGGCATGCGTGTCTTTCACGCATTTCTATTTATAGATTTAATTCTTTGGTACGAATTGAATATGTAGACCCGGAGTAGACATTAAACATACAAGACACCTCGCAAACTGTTTATACTGTCAATCCTCATATAGCGCCTTAGCTAATGTACCGACAACATGCCGCTTTCTCTCTTGATCTCTCCTGTGTAAATTCTCGTTTTCACCAACTTTTGAATCGCCAGCATCAGTCGTAAACATTTATTCAATCTTTTCTTATGAAGCTGAATTAGTGTCCTAAATCATATTTTCATACTTTTGAGTACTGCTTTTCTAAACTTGTTTGTTCAGCCATTTAGTGTCCGAAATGACGACGAATTTCAGAATAATGTCACTTAAATTACAATGTCGCGCAACGTAGACCTGCTGCAGTACTATATTCTCTGCACAACTTAGGCTTGCTTTGCTCCTTGCCTTGGACTTGCTGCGCTACTTATACCTGTTGCAGTATACAACTTGCTGAATAAGCTGAACTTTCTTCGCAATGTGGACTTGCTGCAGTAAAGAACTTGCTGCACAATCTAGACCTGCTGCGCTTCGTGGACTTGATAAGCAGCCTAGCCTTGCTGCAGTTTACATTTGCTGCTAAACATAGACTTGCTGCGCTCCTTAGATATGCTTCTTCTTTGGAAGCAGGCCTAGCTTAGATTTGCTTCTCTCTTAGGAAGCAAACCTCTAAAAACTTGCTATTTTTCTTGGAAGCAAACCTCTTTAAGTCTTGGTTCTTTTCTCAGAAATGCACCGTTGATAAGAATCAACTCTTTACCAGAAAGAAGACCATTTTCTTGAATTGATATTTTGTTTGGTTCTTTAACTTGTAATTGATCACATGTGACCGAGTCCCGTAAAATTTTCAGTTTGTGTTTTATGCTTATCCAAAGAAAAATTTGAAAGTTACAAATTTCTATGTAATTTAGTATACCAAAATATTTTGTTACAACTGAAAATGTTTCAATTGTTCTATCAAAGACCCATATAGCACTCAAATGACAAACTTTTTTTTATTACAGATTCTCTTTATTTCTTTTCTCTGAAAATTTTCATTCTTGACATTGAAAAAAAGGTTGATTGTTTTTAACATGAGAGTAGTCAGCTACAGCACATTCACAAAGAACATGAGTGGTAACAACTCATATCACATTTCACAAAGGACAAATAGACATTTTATTTTAATATGAGGTAACATTTATGATATGAATGAATTAGACCAACACATACTGGCAAATTTCATCATCAAACATATAAACATTGTCAAAGAGCTTGTGAGTAATTAACTAGAATTATAAATATGACTTCTGACTACAGAACGTTATAAAGAACAAAGCTTCCACTCGATTTTTATAATAAAATTGACATCCAAACATATGTGGCGAATGAAATTTAGTCTCTTCAAAAATTTATTGCTTTTTGGCTATGATATTGTTGATTTTTAGAAGCATATACTTCTGGAATATTTCAACATTGTTTTCAACTAATGATTTATTGAAATAACCTAAAACGAAAATCCTAACTTTATAATTCACAGCACAAACACACGTTGGTATGTGTCAAGATATCATTTTTGTGACAAATTAGGATTAAATACATGTTCACAAAAATGTTTGACATTGTCTTAAGGGTGCTTATCAAAATATATGTATCTTCAATTTTTTATATTGTAACAGCCTCGGGCAATTCCAATTTAATCAGCCTGGTGATTGCTGAATTTGATTGCCTTAAGCGTAAATTACCTACTCACCATGGAGTGAATTCTAGCATTAGTAAAAAGTTACCCGATATAAGCATCTGTCAAAATTACATTTATTTGGGACTATTTTCGTGTCATCAAATTTTCAGTTGTCCGGTCGTTGGCCTATAAGATTTAAAAAAAGTTTTAAAAAATCAGCTCGTCAAAAGTTTAAAAAACATAATTTTTAATGTTAAAAATATGTTTTATGTGATTAATATTTCTAACTTTCTATTTTATGAACAAAATAAGTTCAATTATTCTTATATATAAGTTTTGCTAAATAATTTGGTTTTATAGACTTTGTTGTATTTTATTAAAATTTATTTAACTCAATGTAACTGTGATTTTTTCAAAAACATGTTTTCAATATTTAGTTTTTGTATGTCATTTGTGTTTAAATTACCTTTAACTTAGTTTTTGGAAATCTATCTTTCTAAAATCCATGGATATTTTCATTTAATGTCCTTTCGATCCAGATTGATTTCATTTTGTTAATGAACATTTTTTAATCCGAATTTCAATCGTCCATATCTGAAGGCTTGCATGATAATATGCCTTTTAATTTTGACTCGTTTAGAGTGTCATATTAAATCAAAACAATTTTGTCAAATAGTTTTCATATAATCCTCTAGAATACCCGCAATAACATATTTATAAGGTCGCTTCTTATAATTATAAAAGGACTAGAAGACCAAAATTGTTGTCAAATGTCTTGCTCCCCATATATTGATGTCTGCTTATATTGATTAAATTTA